TCCCGCCATTTAAATCAGGCGCTAACAGAGCCATCTATCAGCAGACATTTCACAAAAAACAGAAAGTGGGCACAATATTTTCCCCATTTTTTGTTCATTTTCCCCGGCACCATTGGGTTAACCAATCAGCTTCCCGGACTTGGCATTGGGGCAAACAGGTTCGGTGATTGACCCAATTAACCCTTTGCCGACGGGCATGTACGTACATGTTATGCGTATTGTGTGTTTATTTGTTTAATTGTTTTTACGCATAGAGGGCTACACTTGTACTAAATCACCAATGAGCCAGTTACGAGTACTGCCTGTCTTGGCCGTTCACCCTTCTCGATTTACGAAAATATTTATTGTTTAATTGTTTTTACGCATAGAGGGCTACACTTGTACTAAATCACCAATGAGCCAGTTACGAGTACTGCCTGTCTTGGCCGTTTACCCTTCTCGATTTACGAAAATATTTAATGTTATCCTATTTTGCTATTACAAATGTTTATAACATTATAGTAATTATAATGTTTATGATGAAAATAACACCATCTATATTTATAACACTAGTTAAAAATATGTTTTTCGCGCCAATTCAAGGAAAGGTGAAGTCCTTCTGCACTAGCAGAACCATCTAGTAACAGGGACATTTCACCAAAATATAAAAAATGAGCACAGAATTTCCCCCATTTTTTATTCATTTCCCCTTTCGGGAAAGGGTTAAAAATATATAGACATATTTATATATATACATATATATATGTATGAATATGAATAAATATATATGTATATAGACAGATATATATATTTATATATCCATATGTATTTGTATATGCATTTGTTTATACATTGTGTGTGTGTGTGTGTGTGTGTGTGTTATGTGTATGTGTATATATATATGTGTGTGTGTGTGTGTGTGTGTGTGTGTGAGTGTGTGTGTGTGTATATATATTTATATACAGTACCTACATACATACATATATGTGTATATATATGTAGATATAGGAACTGAAAAAAATGTGATACTTTTATTATGGTAGAAAAATCTGCGATGCAAGAATTAGATTTATTGAAAACAAGACTACAGTTTCAAAATCCTCTTGAATTCCCTCTACAGCTTGGAAGATGGAATACAGGTGTGTTTCAAAACTGTATTCTCATATTCAATAAATCTAGGTTTGTATTGTGGGTTTTTCTACCATGTATATGTATATATATGGTTGTATATCAAATACTTGTGATGCCATGTGTACAGTTTTATCAGTAACAAAAAGCAGAAAGCTAAGACATTTACCATTTTGTGCTGAGTCTGTATGGGAGGCTTCAAATCAGTTTGCCTGGTACAAAGAACAGTCAAATTTACACTATACTTGGGAGGACTAAGATAATCAAAATCTAACAGTGATTGCACAAATGTTAAAGAAATGTTATAAATAGAAATAAAACAAATAATGTAGCTTGTGTAATGTGTTACTTTGAATGTGAATTCTTAAATAGTAAATTTTGAGTGCTCCCCATTCATGCACAATTTAAAACCTAAATTTTAAAGCTATTCTTTGATATACATTTGCATAGTTACTTCTTTTCAGGTAAGCCATCATCCACCTGTGAGTGCATGTTATGCCAAGAGCTATAACTTCACTTTTTGGCAAGATGTGCGCATCAAAACTAAGTTCTGGGGAAGATCATTGGAGTTTCAGCCTACAGGTAAGTAATGTATATATAAGAAATTGAAGATATCTGCACATTTTTATTAAAAAGTTGAGACATGTTTTGAGAAAATGAGGATGGGAGAGATATTATGGGTAGTCAGACAAGTTGAAATGATAATTAGTGACCATTCTCCTTTTCTGTTTGTATATGTATTATACTGTGGTATTAAGGTAGTGCCTAAAGTTCAATGTTTATAAAAAGGTAATTTAACCCAGAGAGTTATAGGTACAACTTAGTTTGGGAACCATTAGATTACAGATTTTACCTTTTTGACCCATGTCTATTGTATGTTTATTTATTGGCTGTTTAAATTACACATAGGTGGCTCCCCAAGTGCTTAATCACAAGTGTCAGTTACTATTTGTGCCTAGTTTACCTCTGATTTTTGGAATGATCCTCTTTTATCTTTTATTTCTAGTTTTATTCCTAATAACATTATGGTAATCTTAATGTCAACAACAATAATAACAATGATATTAATAGCCTGAGAAAAAAATGTTTTTCAGAAAACTCAAGGAAAGTGGAAATTGGCTTCTCTTGCTGGCTGAGCACTTGCAGAGCCATCTGTATGTAAACAAAATGCACAGAAGGAAGCAATAGATTGTCTGATTACCCAGCACCATTAGGTGCTTGGTAATTCCATCCATTGCATCCCGATGTTTCACTACTCACATTTGGCAAAAAATCTGAAGATTAGGCTTACTTTAGTGGCAACTTTCCCATGCGTGTGGCTTGTAGGGCCAGTCCACATGAACCTGCATGTGGTGTGAAGGCTCTTTGCCTCCCCTTTCTAATATTCTTATCTCTTTCTGCTTAAGCATTTTTTCAGTTTGCCATTTTACAAGATATGTATTCTGTCACGCATGTTTACCCTTTTTCTTGATGTACGAAAATATATGTTATCTTATTTTGCTGTTACTAATGTTTATAACATTATAGTAATTATAATGTTTATGATAAGAATAACACCATTAATATTCATAGCACTAGTAAAAATACGTTTTTCCCGCCAATTCAAGGAAAGGTCACGTGGTCTACTATTTGACTCCTCTGTGGCTAAGCACTAGCAGATCCATCTATGTGCAGAGACATTTCTCAAAAATATAAAAAATGAGCACAGCATTTTCCCCATTTTTTATTCATTTTCCCCAGCAGCGTTGGGTTAAGCAGACTCCATGTCATCTCTCTAGGTAGTCTTCAACTCTTTGCAGTAATAATAACAATAAGTGACATTTCGTTATATATGTCCTTTTTTAACCCCTTGCATCTGGGTGATGTGACCATCGAGTCATGAAAAAATCTGGCCTGAGGGGTAGGTGACATGAACATGCCATCATGAGAAAATCTGGCTGTAGGCCGGGTGACACGAACCTGCCCTCATAAGCATTTTGGTTGAAGCCTGGGGTGTTGGAAAATACCCATCACAAGTGCACAAACCTCTAGGAAGGTTTGTTTTACTCATTTGGCAATTTTGCATTATTCCCATGGTTGTATGATTTCCATGCTCAGCACATATTCCTGGCACCGTGACCAGCAATGCAGGTTGTATTACAGGAAATTGAATATTTAGATAAAAGATTAAACAACACAAATAACAGTGTTACATACTTTTGCTTTTCTTGCATCAAGTTGTAGACTACCTTGAGAGATGATGACATCTGTGAAAAAAAAAAAAAAAAAAAAAAAAAAATCCCATCTGGATAATGCAAATCAAATGCCAGATATGGGCATTGGAAAATGGCCAAAAAGCTAGAAATGCCCACACATAAAAACAGTAAATAACTGCAAATAGGAGGCATGTAGTCTTGTCACCACACACCACCCAGCAGAGCAGCCACTCATGTAAGCCTAATGCCCGGATTTTTGATGATGTGAAGGCCGTGATGCAACTGGATCCAGTGGGCTAATATTTTTGCCTTAACTTTCTGGAACACACCATAAGCTACTGGTCAAGGTGGGCAGGAATAGGATCCTGAGCATGGGAATAGTGTCTCTCCCTGGAGCCACTACTCTTCCAGCCGTGCCTTAGGGATGTTTCCTAGTGAAAATAATGCAAGAGCCTCTTCCTAAATGCCATTTAGCCATTCCTGTCATCCAACCCTTCAGCCAAATTTTTCATGATGGCACATTCTGCCACCTTGGCCTCAGCCAGATTTTTCCTTGTCAGGTCACCTGGTCCACAGACGTTGACTTATGACATTGCTGAGGGAAATAATCACTGTAGTTTTATTTTGTTATATGTCTCCACATTTATGGTTCCACAAGTTCTCTACCAGACTTTACCTGATCTCCCCTCTCCTCTTGTTTTCAAGGAAAAAAATTCTGCTACTGACCCATTCATGACAGTTCCCTTGGAGTGCCATATACCCTCCTTCCTGGTTGGTATCTTTAGCAGCAAGTGGCTGCCACCAGGGACACACATCACAGGCAACCTAATTAGAGTGTAAGCTTTGATTTTATGCTCCTTGTATTGCCATGGGAGTGTATTGAAGATCATTGTTTTTAGAGACAAACACAATGGTTAGTGGTCTTGTAAAGGTGAAATGTAGTTTCAACACATGTTGTCCAGACTCTCTAATAGTGCCAGTTTTTATTAAAAGAAAGAAAAAAGTCTATGTAGTTCCTCACTGGACTGTGCACCATACCTCTAAGTACCATAGCTGCAGAGACCCATGTTACAGTCCTATCAATAGCTTATCATGTTTTATTTCTCCTTCCCTGCCTTGAACATCAGCACCACCTCCTTCTGCCTTCAGGAATTTTTGTGACCACATGCCATCACTGCTGTTGAGCCTGCCTCTCAGCAACATGTAGTCGCACTGTAGTCCACTTCTTAATGGACTCCCCTAGTAACACAGATGACAGATTCACCCAAAAGGTCTTCTGCAAGTTATCAGTGCCCAGAGCATGAAGGACAGCCCAGGCACATATCACTGCCATGTCGAACAGGAAGATGATCATCTTCCTGTACCATACCTTAGACTGGCAAACCATAAGGTAGTAGTTTGCCACCAGACTAACAATGTAGACATCTTTCATGCTGACATTATAATCAGCTTCATGACATCACTTACATCATTTTTTGAAATGAAACTTTGTGATGTCACTTTATCTGCCTACCTGCCAGATTGTCTATCAATCTGTCTGCCTCTGCATACCTGCCTGCCTCTCTGTCGGTCTGTCTGTCTCTTGTCTCTGTCTCCCTTCCTCCATAGTCTTGGCTTTTTGTGTTTTCATTTTGATTTTTTGTGGCTGCATCTCTCCCTCTCACACTACCCTCATAATTCCCATACCCACTCTGTTTATACATATCAAATCCAGGTAATTGAAAGTAATATATATATATATATATATATATATATATATATATATATATATATATATATATATATATATATATATATATATATATACATATACATATATATATATATATACATATTATATTTTATATTATATATATGTATTATATTTTATATTGTATATATATATTATATTTTATATTGTATATGTTATATTTTATATTGTATATATATTTTATATTTTATATTATATATATATATTATATTTTATATTATATTTTATATTATATATATATATATATATATTTTTTTTTTTTTTTTTTTTTTTTTTTTACCTTATAACATACCCTGTGGTTACATGTGGAATAAGAAATTGTCTTGGAAATATCCATTTAGACATTGTTACTGAGGTCCATACAATATGTCTCAGCCGAGAACAAAAGTGTCTCACACATGAGACTCCCAGAAATGGTCCATATTCAAAGTACCTTACTAGTGAGACACCCATCAGTAAAGGTATAATCTGGATGCTGTTGCTATCATCGACGTATTTTTATATTGTTATTAACAATACCAGTAGGAACAAAAATTAATATAAACAGAAATCAAGAAAAAGGGTACAATAGTAAGATAAGGTCAAAAGTCAAAAACAAAGTTGGTCCCATATCCATGTGGACTTAGGAAACATGTTTGTAGTGAAACATGCTTACTAAGCCATGGGATGATGTAGGGTGGCCAGTTCTTTTCTGCCCTGGGTGTTGTCAGCATACCAGTACTAATTTACAGCTGAGTTGACTGAGAGGGTTGACTCTGAACCCAGTGGATCCATTGATGTGACCATCAAGTCATGAAAAAATCCAGGTCAATGGCAGGTGACTTGAACATGCCATTACAGGAAAATCTGGCTGCAGGCCGAGTGACACGAACTTGCCTTTGTGAGCATTGCGGCTGAAGGCCAGGGTGATGGAAAAGACTTGGCACGAGTGCAAAAACCTCATGGAAGGTTTATTTTACTCATTTGGTGACTCTGCATTCTTCCCATCAGTGTATGAGCAGGGACTGAAAAAGTGTCGGCCCCATGGAGAAGGCCATTTCCATGCTCAGCATTGTATTCCTGGCGCTGTGAGTGGGGACATGTTTTACAGAAAAGTGAATATTATGTTGTTGTTTTTATGACAATTAACAGAGTGTTACTTAGTTTTAGTTTTATTGCACTTAGTTGTTGACTACCTTGAGAGATTATTGGAGCCTGTGCAAAGAAGACTATTACCATCTGGATAATGCAAATCAAATGGCAAATATGGACATGGCCAAAAAGCTACAATACCCTTATGCATAAAAAGAGTAAATAACTTTGCAAATAGGAGGCGGACACTCTTGCCACCATACACACATGTTCGTATGCACCCAGCCTTCAAGCAAGCACCCAGCAAAGTGGCCACTCACGTAAACCTAATCCCCGAATATTTGGTTATGTGATTGCCATGAAGCAATTGGATCCAATGGGTTAATTGACTCCTCAGTGATTAAGCATTTCCTGAGCCATCTGTGTGTAAATACAGTAAATAAACTGACCTCACAGTGAGCATCTACAGCTACACAGAAAACTATCGTTAGAAAATCATTCTAAACATTCTGACTCAAACAACATTACATTTTTAAATAAAGTTGTCAACACTGATTTTCCAACTACTTTTGGGAATGTGCGCCATATCGCAAGTTAACCCCTTGGTGCCGGGTCACGCCGATAGGCGTGTAAACAAAGTGCTCGAAAGCTGGCGTGCAGCCAAACGAGCTGGCGGCGAGCCAGTGATTCGGGTTGACGTCCCGTACTCGTGCGCTCTAAGTCGGCACGCCGCCTTTGTTTGCTAGAGCGTAGAGTTTTTTTTTCCTTTTGTACACCCGGCGCCATTGGGTTAAGTGGCGATAGATTTGCAGATAATTTGTAATGTGATATAATACTTTGTTACCAATCAGTTGGTTTCCTATTTTTTCTTTTTTTAATGTCAGGTCAGTTGTCATAATACAGGAGAAGACAAATGTTAGGTATTGCTAGACAGTTGATAGCACAGTTGTTGCTCACACGCTTTATTGATATTTTATTATGTAATAACTATTGATGTATTATATTAAGATCAAAACAAGGAAAATAAGGTACTGGTAATATATTCAAGTTTAATATTTTTTGTTCCCACCCCCTGCTGCCAAAACCGTTCAAGCATCAAGGCATAGATCTACTAACTCAGCTCTCAAGGCACGGCCTTCCTCGTGTTATAGACGTCTTGATGCATGTATTTTGACATGGCCGCCCACTTTTTCAATTGGTACTTACTAACAGTAATTGGCTTGGGCCAACATCCGTCAATTCCCCCATACTGCTTGCTTGCTTCCACCCATATATCAAAACATGTATACAATCATGTGTATATGATATGTATATCATATACACAAATATATATATATATATATATAAATATATATATATATGTATGTATATGTATGT